ACACACGCACGTTTAGTCTGACAAACAACATATGACAAATTATCATGTTTTGATATTCTGGTTACCTTATAAACCACTCCAGCAATGGTGGTGCCTGTTTTCATGGGTTTCGGTGCCTTGATTTTACCCTCTTCTGAGCCATTCTCCAGGACAATGTTTCTAAATGAAGGAGATTTGTGCATCATATCAGGAATCGTAATGCCAAGACATCATTTTAAAAAGTTTTACAGAATTTATTTGATCTATGAAGAATCGATTCTAAAAAAAAAAAGATTCTAAAAGACAAGGTACGTTTTCTTTTTGAAGAGAAAGACCTGAAGTCTGAAAGTACTTTCACTTTTGTTCCGACACCTTGAAACAATGGTTATAACGATGCAAGGTTTATTTTCTAGATTTTACGCACAGCGTTATCATAATATAACTGTATCAAGCCTAACTCCTTCTTACCTTGTGGAATTTTCGAAGTTAAAACCAGACACAGCAGGTTCGAGGACGTTGGAAAGTGCCATGTCTAAAATCTCAAACCGGGAACTGTTCTCTTCAAGTAATGCGCCTCGCGAACACTAGTGTTGCTGTTTCAGATGAGCGTGCGCACACCGCACAGTCACTGTCGGGCGACGCGTACGCGACGTTTATCCACGATCTGTATGTCGAGTTTTTAATAATGGACAGCCATCATTCATACTCACAAGTCAAAGGTGTCAGCACCGGAGTAAGTAGCCTATTTATCGTGTTTTAAATGAGTTAAGCCTTTCGCGTTGCTTGGTGAGCTGACGCGTAAAATGATTTTAAATGCGCGTCGGCGACCAGGCAGGTGATGTTTATCTTATAGCCTGAGACCATATTATAAAATACTCGTTTAAATATATTACAATATCCATCTGTGTAGATGGGAAGCTGCAGTTTAAGTGTAACCTATAGCTCAAAGTTACTTTCGCTTTCGTGGATAGATAAGTTAGCCTATTGTGGCATTGTCAGGGCGAGGATAGTCTTGAAATGTCCATTTCCATTTAGAGGTATCTATAGTTTTAATTATGGACTGTTGCAGAAATTCCTACTTAGTTTACGCATTTTCGCATATAAAGTAATGGTAGAGTATGTAGGGATAAAGTAAGCCTCCCCCCCTCGCTTAATTTTTCTTTTGACCATAGATGTCACTAAATCTCACCTCAGCACATTTAGTGAATGGCTGTGCTCTTCTGCATTTTAACTTGACATCAGCATTTGTGATATATATATTAGACCTAAGGAGTTAAAAAGTCATTGAATAATTGTGATATGTGTGTGTTTAGGCTATATTATGCTGGACATTGAAAGGCGCACAGTAATTAGTTTAGATTTGTGTGGTGTTTTATAATTTATAATTATATAATATACGTTATAATTAATATAATTTTATTTTACAGATACTACTTTCAAATAAATATAAATGTTAATTACTTGGCTTAATTATGATTTAATTTTTTTTTTGTAAGACGACCATCCTTGCTGTCAAGTTCAATGGAGGAGTTATCATTGGGTCTGACTCCAGAGCTTCTATGGGAGAGTGAGTATTTTCCAGCAAATTGTTCGTTCTCGTAAAAAACAACTACAATATGACTTTTACCTACAGATCTTATGTGTCATCAAAAACCATCAACAAGCTGATCCAGGTGCATGATAGAATATTCTGCTGCATCGCTGGATCACTGGCTGATGCACAAGCTGTTACCAAAATGGCCAAATTCCAGCTGTCTTTTCACAGGTCTGTTTATTTCTGTAGCATTTTTGCAGCATCCTAAAGAAAAGTTTAGTTAGTCATCATGTTTATAGTGACTATAAAATCACTCTATATCTTTAGCATTCAGATGGAATCTCCTCCTTTGGTAAAAGCTGCAGCATCCATCATGAGGGAACTTTGCTATAACAATAAGGAAGAGCTGCAGGCGGGCTTCATCACAGCGGGCTGGGACAGGAAGAAGGGACCACAGGTGATGCTCTGCTAAACACAAACTACGACCATAATACAGTTCTGCATCACAGTCACATGTGACTCTCAAATTTATTGTATGCATGCAAATAAATAAAAATAATAAAGAGAATCATATAATACTAACAGCGCATTTGCACTGAAAAAGATTAGCTGGCAAAAAGAAAGTGCAGAAATATGATGCTATTGTCTGTTTATTCAAATATTATATAAATCTCTGCAATGCAGATGAGTGATATTCTCTTTTGCATATGCTTTGTCTTTGCACAGATATACGTAGTGTCTTTGGGAGGAATGCTACTCAGTCAGCCTTACACTATTGGTGGATCTGGCAGCACGTATATCTATGGTTATGTGGATGCCAAATTCAAACCTGACATGAGTTTAGAAGAGGCTACACAGTTTTCCACAAATGGTAAATAGAATTGGAATGAAAAAGATATTGACATTTATATGTGCAGTGAATAAAAAACTGTTTTAAGAGCCGATGGCTACTGTTTGTGTCTCCACAGCTTTGGCTCTGGCTATGGGTCGGGACAACGTTAGTGGCGGTGTGGTTCACCTGGTTGTGATCACTGAAGCGGAAGTCAAGCATGTAGTTGTTCCAGGAAATAAACTGCCCAAGTTCCATGATGAGTAGAACACAAAAATGACCAAACTGGACAGTTCTACAAATGTAACTACTTTGTGACTAGATGTGTGATGTGTAGATTTTCTTCACCCCCTTTGTAATAAATATATAAAAGTGTTATTTTCAGTGTGATGTCCCTTCTTGCATATACAATTGATATTTTGTCAATTTCAGATTAATTTATTTGGTTATACTGCATAAACTGAACTACACATCGAGGATATATATGTCCACACAAGCTATACAAAAGAGGTGCTTTCAGAAAAAAACAGTATATGAAATCATCTATTATGCCCACATCTTTCCCTCTTTGTCTGACTGTGAAATGAAGAATGATTAGTAATGATTACTTTAATTTCAAGCATTAAATTGAAATTATTACGCATTTTCTACATTTCTACTCAATTTGTGCAAAGATTAAAACCCTAATTTAGACCTATACACAATTAGTAAGCAGTGTTGGGGGTAACGCATTACAAGTAAAGCGAGTTACGTAATCGGATTACTTTTTTCAAGTAACTAGTAAAGTAATGCATTACTTTTTAATTTACAAGAGAATATCTGAGTTACTTTTTCAAATAAGTAACGCAAGTTACTTTTTTTTCCAATTTATTGATTGACAGCTCTCCTGTCCCCATGTTGAGAGAAATCAGATGTTACTGTAGTTCTAAAATAAATATGAATATGCATTACTTCATCTCACTCACAAAAAAAAAAACAGATTCATTATTCCTCAAAATGAATAAAAATAATGCAACTCAGAATATGACGCAAACCTGCAATAATTAAATGTTAAACAACACAAATATCCTTTATGTATTTAATCCCATTCTATTAACCAATGTCTTTGCTTCTGACCTTCGATGATCCAGTTCAACCAAACTAATAAGTAAAAATTACTCTAGACAAACATTTGTCTTTTTTTTATTGCTGAAGTGTGTTGAACTTTCTTCTTCTGCATTCTACTGTTCGGACATAAATTTACTTTCCCTTCAGCCTGAGGCTTATTCATTTCACTTTTGGTGTGAAAAGGCTTTTATATTTGCCAAAAACAGAACTTTTTTATTTTAAAAACAAACAAGCAAGCCCTGTGCAGATTTAAAAAGTAACGCAAAAGTAACGTAACTCATTACTTTCCATCAAAAGTAACGAAGTAACGTAATTGGTTACTTTTTTATGGAGTAACGCAATATTGTAATGCATTACTTTTAAAAGTAACTTTCCCCCACACTGTTAGTAAGGTTGTTTGTGAAATTTACGACGATTCCTCAATTGTTAACTTAATACCAAAGTAGAAGATAAAAAAAATCTGAGTAAAGTTCAAAGAGATAAAATTAAGTAAACATGATGACACTGATGTTCGCAGCATAAGCCAAATAACTACAATTTTCACTGTTTTATTTACACTGTCGTTATTGGTGATTTTGTATTCAACCATAAACGTATAGTTTTAGGACGTCTTAAGTTTCTTTTCTATTCAAAATGATCAATTTGTACTCAGAAATTACACATTGATTGTTACAGTGTTTTGTGTAGGAAGTGAAGGTTCTGTGAGAAAAAAATGCTTCTTGCAGAAATACAGGGCACCGACAAAGAAACTTTAGAAATGCGAGAAGGCACATTAAACAGGTATGGTGGATTTGTCTGTATAAATTAAATTAGATATAAATATTGAATACACATTTTTTTGACTTTTTAATATGGTAGTTGAAATTACAGTAGACTAATCTAAGACACACTTGCTTCACTGTGTGAGCTGAGCACAATGGGAAGTAACTCTTTCACTTTCTGTTATAGACAAAATGGAGGAATAATGTAGGCACATTAAAATACTGCAGGCCTGACAAAACAAAGTCTCTTTTCGCAACTTAACTCATTTTCACTCGCTGTTAGGAGCTTCGCTTGAGGTACGCAGAGTCGTCGAGTATCGAGTCTCAAGCGCAGGCAGGTTTGCACAGGACAGGTAGTTGCTTTCCATCCATTCAAAATGTCGGAGGAATTGTTTCCAGAGCCAGAATGGCTATCTGAAGAAGTCAAAACCGGGGTGAGTTATCGCCTCATGGGCATAAAAGACTTAAACGAGATGTTTATTTCAAGCTGCTTAAGCATGAACTCGTATAGGATGAGTTAAACGAGTTTCAAAACTTTAAAGCTGTTAGATCAGATCGTAACTTGCTCTAGCAAACGTTAACATTACATCGTGTTAAGTAAGGCGTTAATAACAATTGCCTGGCATGTTAATCTGACATAAATGCGATATTGCATTTTTTTTTTTTCCACTTTAGACGACCATCATCGCGGTTACTTTTGACGGTGGAGTTGTTCTTGGCTCAGATTCGCGTGTGTCTGCGGGGTAAGAGACACTAGTTTATGAGAAGATGTAGCCTAAATGATCAGTAAGAGCAAAACCTTTCTCATAAACGTGTAAAACATCAGAATAACAGACTTAAGAGCTTTTATATAAAATAACACTGATATAAACTCATGAAATGGAATGTTCAAAAACAGCCTATTATTGTTTGACAATCATAGTCACATTTGTTCTGTGAATATTTAAAACAAGATACTTGAACCAAGAACACTAAAATGCTGTTTCTTTGGAAATTGTTCTCAGGGAGTCAGTGGTGAATCGTGTGATGAACAAGCTCTCCCCTCTCCATGACAAGATCTACTGTGCTCTGTCTGGATCAGCAGCGGATGCTCAAACCATTGCTGAGATGGTCAACTACCAACTGGATGTGCACAGGTATTTATCACCAATGTCCTGTAGTGTAGACAACATGTCCTCCAACCAATACGCCCGCATAGGTCGTTTGTCCAAATCCCTGAAATACGACCCATCAGAGCGTATTCTACAATTGCACCCCTATTGACAACAGGACACTTTCATATTAATGCTTTGTACTCTTTTATCTGTGCCATAATTTGGGTTTCGTATAGCTCAGTTGGTAGAGCATGGCGTTATACGCAGTGTTGCCAACTGCTTTCAGTTGAAAGTAGCTAAAACTGGTAGCTAAATGTCACTAGATGACATCATAATGGCAAATTCACTGATCTATATAAAGATGAATGTAGATCAGTGGGCAATATGAGAACTTAGATATGGTTTGTCCAAGAAGTTGCTATATTTGTCCCTAAACTTTTGAAAAAAGTCTCAAAGGGGCGGGGAAGTTGCTAAATCTAGCTACAAAGTAGCTAAATTGGCAACACTGGTTATACGACAATATACAATCATGTGATCATGGGTTCGATCCCAGAGAACGCACGTGCTCATAAAAAGTATATGCACTGTAAATCACGATTTTGCATGATTTCTGTGAGGGTAGGTTTAGGGGCGGTCATTCGTATGAATTCGTATGAATTAGCCACCAATTGAAATATGTACAAATTGCCGTGAGATCGGGTTGGACCATGTAAAAAGTCCACAAATTGCATTTAAATAAACACGCATTTTGATTGGTAATGACAGTCATATGTCATTTCATGACGACAGACGCAACACGACACTCATTATTTTTACACCCGCTAGAGGGCACTAAACTTTAAAACGTAAATATAGGTCGTAATAAGGTGCTTGCTCAAACGACCTATAGGGTCGTTTTTTGTTGGAGGATAGTCTGAGTGTAGACTGTGTCTAAGGATGCTTTCACATCTGTAGTTCGGTTCATTTGGTCTGGACCAAGGACAAAAAATTATACATTGTAGCATTTTTTCAGCCGTTTTGGTTCCACACTGATTGCTCTGGTCTGAACCCGTTGAAATGGACCAAAATGCAGTCACGTGACAACATCCACATCACTCGTTGGCCAGATGTGTCTTTGAATGTAATTCCTAAGCTGCTTTTCGACTGGTCAGAATTAACGTACGGGAAAATTCCAACGGAGCTCTCTGAAGTAAACAAAGAGAGGAGGAAGACGCTGCTTTTTTAATATGGTCATTAGACCAAATTTCGATGAGGCTCCGCACCTCCTCACAACTCCAAGTTTGTCCACGAGATGCCATGGATGCTAAAGTGCAAGCTGTCAACAAACGCTGGTCCTCATCCCATAATGCACAGCGCAGCTGACTACGTCAAAAATGCACAGTTCTTTTTGCAGTTGGGTCTGTTTGAGCTCGGATCACGTTCTCCGCACAAATGAACTGCTCCAGTGTTCGTTTGAAAGCATAGGTCTCGGTACGCTTCTTTGGTCTGCTTTTGGTGCGCACCCGAGTGCGATCGCTGCATTCACACCTGCCCAAACGAACTGCACCAAGAGGAACAACGAACTCTAGTGCGATTCAACAAAACTAAATGAGGCAGGGGTGAAAGCACCCTAAGTTATTAGGCCATGCACTTATTGATTGGTGTTAAATACTACCAGAGGAAACATGCTGTATACATTTTCCTTTTTCTCAAAAATGTGTTGAATAATACACTTGAATAATGTTTCTTGACAGTATTGAGGTGGAAGCTGACCCACTCGTATGCTCTGCTGCCACTCTGGTGAAGAACATTTCATACAAATATAAAGAGGAACTATCAGCACATCTTATTGTTGCAGGGTGGGACAAAAAAAAAGGAGGACAGGTTAGCCCATTTTTGGTTTTATTAGGCCTAGACTGATGAATATTATGCATAGAAGATCATTGCAAATTAAATACTACATGTTAAAAAGTCTAATAATATTAATATTGTATATGTGGTCATTTCTGCCTCATTCCAAACAGGTCTATGCGACACTGAGTGGTTTGCTGACCAGGCAACCTTTTGCTATTGGTGGCTCTGGGAGTTTTTACATTAATGGTTTTGTTGATGCAGAATTCCGAAAAAACATGACAAAGAGAGAATGTCAAGAGTTTGTAGTTAACGGTAAGTTTGCCAGTGCAATTTACAAACAGGGTCTGATAATATAATATATTCTAATTATACTAAACTGCTCTATTTAGTGCAGATGGTAAACCAGTCAGTTCAAATGACTAATAGAAGTAAATGATGTAGAAATAGCAGGGGACTATTACAGTGGAAATAATACAAGTACAAAAACATGTTAAAGAGACAAGTATAACAAGAGAAGTACACCACTGAGTAAGTATAAAGATGTGCAGCTGGCATCATGCATGTTTTAGATGTGGCCTTAGTGTTAAGAATAGTCCCATGTGTGCAACTTTTATCAATGTGGTTGATTCAATTCTAACATTATCTCTGCCAAGATGGACAGAGGACACTCCTGGGGAGTGTTGCTTCTCATTCTTTCTTGATAACTTTTTAATGACTGTATGTCTATGAGATATCAAAGCTATCCCTTCTGTCTCTGTCTCTCTGTAGCTCTCACTCTGGCAATGGGTCGGGATGGCTCAAGTGGAGGCGTTGCATATGTTGTTACCATTGATAAAGATGGAGCAGAAGAGAAGTGCATTTTAGGAAATGAACTGCCCAAATTTTTTGATGAGTGAATTAAAGGACTTTGCTTTGATATTAAAAGAAGATTTCCATGTATATTTGTAACCTATAGCAGGACAAAATACTTTGAAATTGCAGAAATGTTTGAATTGTTTTGTTGATATTAAACACTTGCAAATACATAAACATAAAAACTCACTCCCTTATGTGAACAGCGACTCTCAAAATTTGATAATAAACCATATTAGAAACGTGTATGCTGTTTAATTCTGACACAAAAGCTCATTTATGTAAAAAATGTGTTGATTAGGTTATAAGCAGTAATGGATTGTAGGCTACTATGGAGCTGTCTAAAGGTCTCTGCTGTTATGACTCATCATTTGTTAGGCAGAAATGAAGGAGGCGGGTTATAGAGCAAGTTTTCTGTTATGGCTCCTTGTAAAAGAGATATTTGTTGCTCCTGAACAATAACAAATAGACATGTCCTAAAAAAGATTTATTAATTTGTCTTGAAGATACAGCCTATATTATTTTGGATATTATTATGGTATAGCCTAACTGCTCCATCTGAAGGTCATTCATTACACATTTTGTGTAGCCTATCAACTGACTTGATTTGTGATTTTAAAATGTATGACTGAGTGAAGTCATTTTAATGAACGCTTACGCAGAGCGCAGCCTTTTTTGTTGTAGCCTATGTGGAAGGAAAATCCCTTATCCTGAGAAACTGGAAGTAAAAGCTAAATAATGTAGGTGTCCTAAAATGCCCCGGCGCTGTGTAAAGAAATGATTACCTCGCACTCTGTGTGAACGTAGCAAAACGTTACCGACAAGAAAATACCCGAGAATAGGTTCGCTTTGTTCATTTACGCTCGCGGGTTATTTAGCCGACGGAGGCTATCCATGCACCATGCGTAAAGTTTCGGTGTTCGCGTGTGTATTATGTGTAGACATAATAATAGTGTACACTCTGGACCTCGGAGGAATTTTGCTGAAGTCTTGTACAAACCTCGACTATAATCTATTTCGCCAGTGGGCTGAATCCGGACTGCGATGCACACTACTGTCCGCAGGAGCTACTTTATATAAAGATGCGGCGGATCCACTGATACGGAGATGGATTACAGTCCACTGTTTTATCGGTTCGGTATACGAAACCGGGCGCTTAGCGCTGTTTGACAACTATCGCCTTGACAAGTTTAATTCGTGGCTTGTCGGTACCGTCGCTGCTGCTGTAGCTTGTCTGTTTTGGGAGGTAACACTGCCTGACACTAATGGAGAGAGTAACGGTAAAGAGCGCAAACAGAAGGCTCGAGTCCTCTTCATCCGGGTCATCCGTTTGTCCAAACCAGACTACATATTATTGTGTGGAGCTTTTGTCTTTCTGACCTTAGCTGTGCTATGTGAGTATTTTGTTGCATTTAGTCCTAAAATAAAAGTATAATATACACCTGCTTTGTAAAGTACTTTTTACATGTTTCAGGTGAGATGTTCATCCCACTGTACATTGGAGAGGTGATTGACATCTTGGGTTCCCATTATCAGTGGGATAACTTCAGATCAGCTATCATTCTCATGGGATTATTCTCACTGGGAAGGTTGGTATGGCAAAATATGTGTTTTGTATTACAAAAATTACCATTTAGTTATCTGCATTATTTACATTTAGTTACCATTATTTACTTAATGAACTTAATGTTGTTTGTTCTCAGTTCTGTCAGTGCAGGATGTCGGGGAGGCCTGTTCATGTGTGCAATCAACAGCTTAACTTGCAGAATAAAGGTACAACTGTTTGGGTCCCTTGTCAGGCAGGACATTGGCTTCTTTGAGACCATCAAGACAGGTAGATCAAATGCAATTGCTGGTGCAGTCACTCTGATTCTCTGTATGCAGACTTTAGTTGTCATCAGTGTGATGCCCTTTTCACATGGACTCATAGTTATTATTTCCACTGAATCTGTCTTTCAGGTGATATCACATCTAGACTCTCCACAGACGCTACTCTGATGGGCCGGGCTGTAGCCCTGAATGTCAATGTCCTTCTGCGGACACTGATTAAGACGCTGGGCATGTTGTATCTGATGCTGAGCCTCTCGTGGAAGCTTACACTGCTGATGCTGATGGAGACGCCACTGACAGGCTTACTGCAGAACATATATAACACACATTATCAGGTATGGGGTTAATGAAAATTAATGTAATTATGAATAATAGATAATCATTTGTGTGCTTTTGAGAATCATATCTTATATCAAGTTTTCATGCCCTTTTTAGAGGCTCTCAAAAGAAGTTCAGGACTCTATGGCGCAAGCCAATGAAACTGCTGGGGAGGCGGTGTCAGGAGTCAGGACGGTAAAGAGTTTCAAGACAGAACTTGGTGAAGCCCATCGCTATGATGTCCGCTTGATGGAAACCCATAATCTGAAGACCCGACGGGACACAGTCAGGGCGATTTACCTGTTGGTTAGGCGGGTTAGTATGAGTTTAGTCTTCAAGAGCATATGTGTTTATTTTCTTTGAAGCAAACTTGTTGATATGGAACTGCATTGCTATAGATAGTGTCTTCTTGACCGTTTGTGTGGTTTGCAGATGACAGATTTGGGAATGAAGGTGGCCATGCTTTACTATGGGAGACTCTTCATCCAGTATGGACAGATGAGCACAGGGAATCTCGTCTCTTTCATTCTCTATCAGCAAGACCTTGGAGACAACATTGGGGTATGCCTCTGTTTATTTTAAAAGAGGGATTTCTCTGTTGACATGTAGGGTTGTATGACCTTCTATGTAAACCTGCTTTTTGTGAAATGAATCATTTTCAGCTTAAAAAAAAAAAAAAAGAGTAATAAATATTTATCCATCTCTTTCCCAGACTTTGATCTATATCTTCGGAGACATGCTGAACTCAGTGGGTGCGGCAGGTAAGGTGTTCGAGTACCTGGACCGAAAGTCTGAAGTCAGTATTGATGGTAACCTGCAGCCCAGTGATCTGAAAGGACATGTCAGCTTTCAGAACCTCACCTTCTTGTATCCCAGAAGACCCGACCACAATGTGTTAAAGGTACAACTTTTAGTCTTAAGGATTAATTCACTTGATCCCCATCAAGTTTGAGAAGGCAATTCACATGAACCTAAAATATGAGTAAATATGGTAATTAAACACATAAAGATCTTTTTATTTCTTATATTTTCTTCAAAGGGTTCATAAACTAAGGAGACAAACTGTATGTATAGATAGACAGTTGAGTGCATGTGTGCATACATTTGCAAACATATTGTGTATGCTAATTCAAAAAAAAAAAATTAGAATGTTGTTCATCATGATCTATACATGGTATATACTAGGTTTTTTATATATATGTAATATTTTAGAATAATTACCTTACCTTTTTGTTTGTTTTCAGAACTTCTCTATGGAGTTGAAGCCGGGTCAGATGACGGCTCTAGTGGGAATGTCAGGTGCGGGAAAGAGCACCTGTGTGAGTCTGCTGGAGAGATTCTACCAGCCTCAGCAGGGACACATTCTGTTAGACAGACAACCACTGCAGAACTATCAACACAAATACTTGCACAGCAAGGTGACTACTCTGAAAGAACAAACCATGTTAATGTTGAACTGTAGATTATTTACAATCTATAAGTCTACTTATAAACTAAAGAACAATATACAACCAACCGGTGCAATGCAAAGAACATATACTGTAAATAATCTTTTTCAGATAGCAATGGTGGGTCAGGAGCCTGTACTTTTCTCTGGCACTGTACGAGACAACATTGCCTATGGTCTGCCCAGCTGCTCAATGGAGAGAGTAAAGGAGGCTGCCAGCAAAGCCAATGCCCATGCTTTCATCTGCAAACTGGAAAATGGCTACGACACAGGTAAATTAACTGCTGTCACGGCCCACTGTCATTCTTGTGTCAGTGGCTAGAACGATTCTGATTGGGCAAAACAAATTATTTAAAGTAAAAAATCTAAATTATTTTCTACTCTTAATATCTATGAATTTCAGAATTGGTAGCATTCATAGCCTTTTAGTTATACATCCTGCCTACACCCCAACAAACTTGAAAAGGTTTTTTTTTGCCTGAAAGGGTTTGCTGGTACACTTGCTAGACTAGCAAAAACCAGCCTGGACTAGAATGCAGATACATTATTAGTCTAAGATGGATTTTAGACTTCCTGATATTATCAGCAATTCTGGGTGTTTTTCTTTTGGATTTTTGTAGCCACTCCATTTATTATTTGATAAGGAAGGTTTTAGCAGCTTGGTCCACTTGCTAGACCAGAATAAACCAGCCTTGGCCTAAGATGGACTTTACATTTAAAATCATTCTAGAATTCCTGATATTAACAGCAATTCTGGATGGCTTTCTTTTGGATTTTTGTAGCCACACCATTTATTTTTTTAATAAAGAAGGTTTTAGATTTAAGCATGGTAAAGGTGTTTTATTAAATGCCACAGTCATAAAATCCTGTTTTCTTTGTCAGATGTGGGAGAGCGTGGAAATCTGCTCTCGGGAGGTGAGAAGCAGCGCATCGCTATTGCCAGAGCTCTGATTAGACAACCTCAGGTGCTCATACTGGATGAAGTGACCAGCTCTTTGGACACTGAAAGTGAACAAATGGTAAAATATGGCTATTCAATATGAACACAAAGGCATATGTACATATGCATTCACAAATCCTTGCTTCCTTTAATGCTACTATCAAAAGAGTCCTTACATGTTTTGTTATTCCACAGGTTCAACAGGCCCTGGCCTGCTGCCCCACTCAGACCTTGCTTGTGATTGCTCATAGGCTGAAGACCATTGAGAGGGCGGATCAGATTGTGGTGATTGACAGTGGGGAGGTGGTGGAGCAGGGTACACATCAGGAACTGATGGACAAGAAAGGAAGTTACTATAAACTGAGAGAGAGGCTCTTTAGTGATGATAATACAGCCAACCAATAACGAGAGAAATCTGACACTGTAAAAGCCCAATAGGCTGTGTTAAAATAATGTGCTTGTTCAATATGTATACAAATATACCATTACAAACTTTTGTAAATAGAGACATATAAGGGGGAACGTTATCCTTTAACCATTATCGCATTTCTTAGAGATATGTGGTACTGAACTGTGGACTTGTACATAGAATAAACTCAGTGGCGATCATCAGTCAAAATGTTTTATCAACAAACAGTTTTTGATAAATGTAAAATTTAGGATTTGTTCGATGTTTTAATATGTAAATGTGAATAAATATTGGGGTTTTATACAGTCTAATTTCATATTTTAGTGTCATAATTTCCTTGTCATAGATGTCTGTTCTATTTCATAACTACTGAATGAACATTATAATATTAAACATTACAATATTAAATGTCTAACAGATGTTGTACAGTTAAAATTACAAACTGCACCTCGTCTGTAGCCAAGCTTACATGTGGAGTCCCACAAGGCTCTATTCTTGCTCCCATTTTATTTCTTTATATGCTCCCGCTGGGTAATATTTTCAGAGAACATGGAGTCTCATTCCATTGTTTTGTGGATGATATCCAAATTTACTTGCCATTAAAAAAAGGAGACACAAGCGATTTTGAGATTTTGGCAGCCTGTTTGAAAGATCTAATGAACTGGATGTCTCTAAATTTCCTGCATCTTAAGGAATTGAAGACTGAGATTACTGTGTGTTTGGTTCAGCGTTTACTTTAGCAGCTACTTTAAAAGCCAAGCTCACTCATCTTGAACGCGACATGAAACCATGTTAAAAATGGTCTTTATTATGGACAGTGACCTTAAAAGCAATTGAATGGACAAGCAAGTCAATTCAATTGTCAGGTCTAGTTTTTTCCAGCTTCGCCAAATCTAAAAAAATTAAGCCATTTCTTAATTTAAAGGATACACAAAAGGTCATTCATGCTTTCATTTCATCACATTTGGATTACTGCAATTTGCTTTATTTTGGCCTTATTCACTCCGTCCTTGCACGACTGCAATTAGTACAGGACTCTGCTGCAAGGTTATTGACGCGTACACGTAAGCAGGAGCACATTACGCCTATACTTGCTTCCCTTTACTGCTTGCCTGAAAGTTATAGAATTGATTTCAAGCTTGCTCCATCATATCTATCTGACCTAATTTCTGTTCACCAGCCCCCTAGATCGCTTAAGTCAGGGAATCAAATTCAACTCAAGGTGCCAAGAACCAGACTGAAACATAGGGGTGGTAGAGCGTTTGAGGCAGCCGGTCCCAATCTTTTAAATAGTTTACCACTACACATCAGATCAGCACCCACTCTGTCTATTTATAAGTCCAAACTTAAAGCTTATTTTTTCTCTCTGGCT